GACCTTACCCTGGGAAAAACCTCACACATCCTCAAAGAATTTTCAATTATCGACTCTCCAGAGCTAGGCAAGTTATTGAAAATACCTTTGGCATATTAGTGGCCCGCTGGAGGATATTAAGGACGACAATAAATGCCAATGTGGAAAATGTGGATAACATTGTGAAAGCTGCTGTTGTTTTACACAATTATTGTCAAACTGAGCTATCGGGCGCTGATGGCGGTAATATTTATTGCCCCGACAATTTTGTTGATAATAATGGTGAGAACAATGGCAACTGGAGAGTTGATCAAGAACCACTGAGGTCTGTGGGTCGACTGGGAGCCAATAGAGCAAAAAGGTCTATTTATGCAATAAGAGATGCCTTGTCTGGTTACTTTACATCAGACAAAGGTAAAGTTCCCTGGCAAGACGTCTCTATCAATGCAAATTTAATTTAAATTAACTAAAAACTTTTTTAATTGATAGATAAGTAATTTTGGATTTTTTTTTGTATTATATGTATATTTGTTTAATCAATTATGATAGCTTAGCTTAGTTAAGAGATTTATATAATAGATAGGTAATTTCTAATTTCTTTTTTGTATTAGGTATATGTATATATTTGTTCAATTAAATTATAATGGCTTGGGTTAGTTTAAGAGGTTTCTATATTGTTCAAGAATTTTTCACTAATTTTTTTTTTATTTTATTTAAAATGTGTGTTGCTCAAATTATTTTGGTAAATACAAATTATTTTGGTAAATACAAATTATTTCTTCTTCAAACCAAAAGTTGTCGACATTCAAAATTAAGGAATTAGCTTTGTGTATGTTTATGACTCCTGAATTATATACCTTTTTAATTTCTAAAAATATTCAATATTTTATCTTGGTTGAAAAATCAAAAAGTGCTATTCAAATTCGTTCATATTCAAATTTCAAATTAAAAATCATTTTTTCTCCAAACGTCAAAAAAACGTCACGTTGTTAACCCCTGTCAAGATGTCAGAAATTTAATTTCTATGCTGGTAGGCAAATCCAGCAGGTTAACACCTGTCGAGGTGGTAGAAATTTAATTTCTATGCTGCTTGGCAACCCCAGCGGCAGCAAAAGTACTTTTAGTGCCGCTGGAGCGGCAGCAAAAGTACTTTTAGTGCCGCTCGTATTTTTACTGCCGCTCAACCATTCAGTTACCCCCGAGCTTACCCCATTCGTTTGGAGAAAAAATAGTGTGTTGCATACGGAGTAGAAGCACTTTTTTGTGCTTCAGCAGTATTGCAAGCCTCACTACGTTTGGCTCGCAAACCTACTGCTTCAGCACAAAAAAGTAAAGCTTCTACTCCTAATACAACAATATACTATTATCCCATTTTGACGTTTAATAGCTAATTATGCAAAAATGAGTTAAATGAATGTTTATTCATAAGAAGAAAGTTCAACCCACGAGCCCTAGTGAGTGGGTTAATTTTCTTTGAATGAAAAAACATTTTAACTCACGTGATGTATACAAAATTTTATCCTATTTTGATGGACATTTAAAAAATAAGGTACTTAATAGGAGTCAAATTATAAAAAGAATTAATTTAGAGAGCCCTAATTTTTAACATTGAAAATGGTAGTTGCTAACTTGTTGTTTGTTTTTATTTGTAGCAGATTTCTATACTGGCAGAGACACTTAGAAGACCAAGAGTGAGTTAAAAATATTTTAAGTCACTTAGATGATAAACGTCTACTTACCTTTGTTATTATGCGTTTAATAATGTCATTTTTAAATATCTAAATGGGATAAAATGACATTATTGAACGTATAACAATAAGGTAAGTAGACGATTATCACCTGAGTGATTTAAAAAAAAAATATATATATAACTCTCAGCATTTTAAGTCACTCTGCCAACTAAAAAAAAAATCAAAACCTCAGTGATTTAAAATATTTTCAACTATAACTCTCTGTATTTTTCCTTGTACTTTATTTTTTGAACTTCCACAAAATGGGATAATAGTTATTTATACACCAAGTGAGTTAAATGAATGTTTATTCATGAGAAGAAAGTTTAACCCACGAGCCCTAGCGAGTGGGTTAATTTTCTTCGAATGAATAAACATTTTAACTCATGTGATGTATACAAAATTTTATCCCATTTTGATGGACATTTAAAAAATTGAGTACTTAATAGGAATCAAATTATAAAAAGAATTCATTCAGCGAGCGCTAATGTCTAATACCTACTGAAACTGGTAGTCGCTAGGGTATAGCTAGTTGTTTGTTTGTATTTGTAGCAGATTTTTGTACCAGCAGAGTGACTTAAAAGGCTGAGAGTGAGTTAATAGTTATTTATGATATAAGTGTTAAAAGTACATTTTTAAGGCACGCATGTGAAAGTTTGCAGAATGAGCGAAGCGAATTCTGCAATTCACATAAGCGCCTTAAAAATACTTTTAACACAAATATCATACAATATTTTTTCTACAAACGGCAATAAAAAGCAAAAACCAGTAACAAATTGGATTTTTAAATGAATAATAAATTGGAAGCACCTTTCCTACATAAAATTATTGAGTTTGACATTTGTCAAAAAGTTTAAACAACCAGCACCTTGTTTTACAGGTAATTAAATGTCTTGTCAGTTTCTTGAAAGTCTGTCGTGGTCAGTAATAGTCCCCAGTACATCGACCTTAAAATTTTGTAACTCATGTACACGCCCAACTTCCTGAGCGGCTTCATAACACCAAGTCGGACAATATTTTTCATGTCTCCACCCTGGGCGATGGGACATTGCTGCGCTAGCTCTTCGTGAAGTTGTCGTTCTGACGTCCCTAAGGAAGTTGATACATGTACGTGTGGTTTCAATGCCAATCGACTGTTTTTTACATTACATTAACGATATCACATTTGTCGGACAAAAACCATGTGGCTTTGGGGAAGGTCCGACACCCTCAACATGTCGCTGTGGCGTCCCTAAGGAAGTTGATACATGTACGTATGTTTTCAATACCAATCGACAGTTTTTTACATCACATTAACGATATCACATTTGTCGGACAAGAAATTTGAGACAATCAATGAAAAAATTAAAATAAGTTTGCCTTAACGCAACGTGCATATTAGTCAGTTTATTATTTACCTACTTTGTCAAATACCTGTGGGGCCCTGTGTCATATTCCCTGATCTGTTTTTTTGATAGTTCTCCGAGTATTTACGGAAATTATTTAGTAAACGCGGTCATTCAAAACCACGCGTGTGACAAAGAATGGATATTCAGTCGTGTTTTTTGTGCAATCTCAGGAGTGAAGATCCTGAATTTCGGCAGAAATTGATCAAAACGACTTTTGTTGTCCGACTGACTTTAATACTCATTTTATTTGTCCGACATTTACTACACATGTTTTAAAATTACATTGTTATTCATAATTATTTTTGTCGGACATACATGTATCAACTTCCTTAGGGACGCCACAGCGACATGTTGGGGGCGTCGGACCCCCCCAGAGCCACGTGATTTTTGTCCGACCTATGTGATATCAATAATGTAACATAGAAAACAGTCGATTGGCATCAAAACCACACGTACATGTATCAACTTCCTCAGGGACGCCACAGCGACATGTTGAGGGCATCGGAACTTCACCAAAGCCACATGGTTTTTGTCCGACAAATGTGATATCGTTAATGTAATATAAAAAACAGTCGATTGGCATTGAAACTACACGTACATGTATCAACTTCCTTAGGGACGTCAGAACGACAACTTCACGAAGAGCTAGCGCGGCAATGTCCCATCGCCCAGGGTGGAGATATGAAAAATATTGTCCGACTTGGTGTTATAAAGCCGCTCAGGAAGTTTGGCGTGTACATGAGTTACAAAATTTTAGGGTCGATGTACTGGGGACTATAATGCTTTTTGCTTAAAATGCAACAAAATACAGAAGAAAAAGGGGTTTGCATCGATCCCTTGAAAAATATAGATGAGGCGGCCAATCGAGCTACCCCAGTTGTTCAAATTTCACCATGAATATCAATGTAAATAACTAAAAATACAAACTTTTTTTGACGTTCGCACTCAAAATTTGATGTTACATTTTTAACACTAGTGCTATAAAGACTTTATGGCACTAGTGCGATAAAGTAACATTTTTAATGCTTCGGGGGGGTGTTAAAAATTGCATTTTTAACACGTTTGTAGAAAAAAATATTTTAAGTCACTCAGGTGATAAACGTCTACTTACCTTTGTTATTATGCGTTCAATAATGTCATTTTTAAACGTCAAAATGGGATAAAATTTTGTATACATCATGTGAGTTGAAAAAAAAATGTTTATTCATTCGAAGAAGATTAACCCACTTGCTAGGGCTCGTGGGTTAAACATCGGTCAAACTTTCTTCTCATGGATAAACATAAGTACATATATTATTTTTTCTCCAAACGTCAAAAAAACGTCACTTTGTTAACTCCTGTCAAGATGTCAGAAATTTAATTTCTATGCTGCTAGGTAAATCTAGCGGGTTAACACCTGTCGAGGTGGCAGAAGTTTAATTTCTATGCTGCTTGGCAACCCCAGCGACAGCAAAAGTACTTTTAGTGCCGCTCGTACTTTTACTGCCGCTCAACCATCCTTTTGCCCCCGAGCTTACCCCATTAGTTTGGAGAAAAAATAGCGTGTTGCATACGGAGTAGAAGCACTTTTTTGTGCTTCAGCAGTATTGCAAGCCTCACTACGTTCGGCTCGCAAATCTACTGCTTCAGCACAAAAAAGTAAAGCTTCTACTCCTAATACAACAATATACTATTTTAATTAGGAACTGAGCAGTTTTTCTAGAAATTTAAATCTTTCTTCACATACAAATCAATCTTTGATTTGAATCTTTTTAAAAATTATCTCGAACAGCTATGGAGTCTATATCTACCTACATAGTATTATAAGATGTGAGATAAATTCAAGAAATAGAAGATTTTCAAAAAATAATAAATAATGCAAGTAAATACATATTATAAATTGTGTTATTTTTATTTTATCAATCTAAATTTGATCTAAATGATTGTCACACAGATATTTCAATATATCTCTTCTTATGTTGCCTGCCTCCTCTTCAGGCAGCCCTTCCAATATATCGAGAAGATATTCCACAAATATTGCATTTCTGCTTTTTTTTCTTATTGTTTTTCTCTCCAGGTTTTGGGCCAGGGAACTTGCAATCTTGATAACTTGTTCCATTTCTTTAGGAGAGGTTTGTTTTTTTGATGCTGAAAAAATGTAAACATTATGTATCCATTGAGTATGTTCTAAGTTCCAATAATGTAACTTACAAGTCGATGTGAAAGTCTGTGATCGATTTTCATGAGTCGGGACAACATCATCCTCTGACAAAGTTCTTGGTTTTCTGAATGCTAAAAAATATATGAAAATTATTTATCAGCTTGGCCTATTCAAATAAATTCGCTTACAAGTTAATCTAGGAGTCTCTGTAGCCAGGATTTCATCATCTTCTTCGTCTTGGTCACTTGCCCTGCTGTAGGTGCAGCTTGGAATTAAGCTCCTGATTGATTCGTTACGGCTCTGTTGATTTCGCCAGTAGCTGCAGCTTGCGACAGGGCTACAGATGTTGTTTGGAGGTACATTTTCATCCTGGCTCTCTGGTTCAGTCAATGCATCAATGAGGATGGGGCTCCACACTGAACCAGAGGAACTAGTGGAAGGTCTGGATTGTCGACCTGTCAGCTGACGGCCAACTAGCAACCCACAGAACATATCACCTAACCTAACTAAAAACCTTCGTCGCGATTCTCCCATTTGAGATATTTTTCTATAGGTGATATGTTCTGTGTAGCAACCTTCCTAGCTGTAGCTGTGTAGGTACTATATGCAAATAAAGCCAAAATTATTGACTGAAATTAAGATGCTGTGACGACAAAATAACAAGGTCAGCTTGTTTCCACTTTAAGGTTTTCTTTACAGGGTGTTCATTTCAAAACTTACCACCCCTTTTATCTCAGAGTTGAAAAATTTTCGAAAAAATTCAACGTCAACTATAATTCAAGGGGGGATGAGTTGGAAGTGTATCAAATAATACATAATTTTGGAGGGTTTTCAATAGAAGATTTCATTATGAATGACTTTGGCAGAAAGTCGAATTTTTAACCGGAATTTTTTGATCATGGATTAGATTCAAAGTTGCTGTCAAATGATAGTTTATAAAAATCTTAGATAAGAATTTAAGATTGGTTTTCCTCTAAAATTAACCGTTTAGGTTTCACAGCCTGTCAAAGTTGCAAAAAAGTCAATTTTGAACTGTCAATGGCCGCGTTCACCAGATACAAACGTTGATAAACGGTTTGCAATTGTTCTGCTGAACGCTACGTTGAATTTGTGTTAAAACCAAACATGTTTTGCAAACGGTCGCCATTTTTGCAAGCATAATTTCAGAGTGTTTATAATTTTCAACACTGTGTTTTGTGTGGTGACCTGTCATTCAGAAGGTGACGTTCTATATCATTGAAAAGTTGAATCGTTCAGCAGAACCAAGAATTTACCCAACATATTCTGTTGGTATTTGTAAACTGTTTACAATCCGTTTTGGTTCTGGTGAACGTAGCCAATATTTCCATAACAGTTGAACTAGGGATTAACAGTTAGTACCAAAATGAATGGAATAGAAGATTTCATTATGAATGACTTTGGCAGAAAGTCGACAAACAAAGTCACATAACCTATAAACAGCATTGTCAATGTTATTAATTTTTTTTTCAATTTTGGGCTTAAATTTAATAATTATGGCAGTTTTGGGAGAACATGATATGTTTTATCGAGAGGCGATGAAGCGATATGTGTTTGGTGATTGTAAAAGTGATAGTCGAACGAGTTCCATTAAATTGACGACCTCATTTGCCTCTACTAGAGTTTTAGGTAACACAGCACCTGTCACATCACTTTTTGTTAATTTTATCAAACGTTTTGCAACCAAAGAAGCCATAGCGAATGCACCGAATACTTACGAAAGCGTAGATTTGGCAAGATGCTGTTACCTTAAACTCCAGTGGAGGCAAATGGGGTCGTTAATTTAATGGAACTCGTTCGACTATCACTTTTACAATCACCAAACACACATCGCTTCATCGACTCGCGATAAAACATATCACGTTCTCCCAAAACTGCCATAATTATTAAAGGACCCCGCACATTTCTTATGGAAAAGTGATCTATGTGGAATTTTGCTTAATTTTTGATATAGTGTATAGGGAGTCGTCCTTAACAAAAGTGATCATTGCGCTAATGTTCGATACCCAACAGTTTTCAAGATATCAATTAAAAACTTTTTTAATAATACTCTTCAGTATGACGTCACTTATAGCAACGCAAATTATTACCACAGCATATACAAAAACAATCAGCAGGCTAACTTGAGTGACAGCCCGTGTAATAAAGGAATTCGTGGTCGGGATGTCACTAGCGGCCATTTTGGGATACGAGACAGGGTCTGATTAACAATAATTCAGGTTTTTTTCTTTCTGGTCATAGAGTCGTATTGGCTTTAAATAAACTAATTTATTATTACTTACATATAATAATATCTATAATTACTAATTTATTATTATTATTGAATATACAAGACTGATAACAGATAACACCATAAATGACAACATGAATATACTAAAATCATTTTGAAAATCATAGCTGAAATTTCGCTCTACACCGTACACCGCACGCCTATGACCTCCGTCAAAAATATACAAAATAAAATAAAATTTCGGCGCCCCTGCCGTTTAATGACAGGATGATATCCCCTAATGCCGGCGTGCGCAGAAAAGATGCGCGTGAGAGTTAGCCTGCTGATTGTTTTTGTATATGCTGTGTTATTACTATCCTTTCCACTTTTGAGAAGAAAAAAAAGATAGCGATTAGTGACAAATAGGTAGGTATGCAAACAACACCTAGCTCCTGCCGCAATCGTCAACTTCATATGTCATGATGTTTGTCATGTAGCGATTTCATTTGTACCTATTGTTGTTTTTTTTATTTCCTAAATGTTGAAAGGAGAAGAGTATAAGTATAGGTAGTCAAAGTTAAAAGTGAAAAGGATAGTTTTAATTTTCGGTGCTGTGAGCATACTGGTGACGTCATACTGAAGAGTATCAAATTAAAAAAGTTTTTGATTGATATCTTGAAAACTGTTGGGTATTGAACATTAGCGCAATGATCACTTTTGTTAAGGACGACTCCCTCTACACAATATCAAAAATTCAGGAAAATTCCACATAGATCACTTTTCCATAAGAAATGTGCAGGGTCCTAAGCCCTTCATAACATTGACAATGCTATTTATAGGTTATGTGACTTTGTTTGTCGACTTTCTGCCAAAGTCATTCATACTGAAATCTTCTATTCCATTCATTTTGGTACTAACTGTTAATCCCTAGTTCAATTGTTATGGAAATATTGACAGTTCAAAATTGACTTTTTTGCAACTTTGACAGGCTGTGAAACCTAAACGGTTAATTTTAGAGGAAAACCGATCTTAAATTCTTATCTAAGATTTTTATAAACTATCATTTGACAGCAACTTTGAATCTAATCCATGATCAAAAAATTCCGGTTAAAAATTTAGTCTCAGGTTACATTCAAAGTTAGTGTCAAATGATAGTTCATGAAAATCTAAGATGAGAATGTGAGATCGATTTTCCTCTTAACTTCACCATTTAGGTTTTACAGCCTGTCCAAGTTGCAAAAAAAGTCAATTTTCAACTGTCAATATTTCGAAAACAGTTGAACTTAGGGATTTAAATTTAGTACCAAAATGTATGGAATTAAAAACCCTTCAAAATGATGTATTACTTGACTCCCCTTCCTATTTAGGATTTTCAAGAGGGTGGCTCTGGGGGCTGGCTGGTTCATACATCTATCAAAATTGGTATTTCAACAATAAACTGACATGTTTTGATTGTTGATTTGAACCAGTCAGATTGTCGTGCAATGGAAATATATTTATAATTTCTGACAAATTTGCACTCATGCGTTTTTAACTGAAAAAGGCACTTGTGCACAAAGTGCACGAGTGCTCTTTTTTAACTAAAAATAGATTCGGGCAAATTTCACAAAAATTATTGATAATTTCCATTGCACTAGTTATTATATTACTATTGAAAATTTTTCAACTTTGAGATTATAGGAGCGGTAAGTTTTAAAACGAACATCACTCTGTATAACAGGTCTTAAAAAAAAAACAATGAAAAATTGCTTTTTTGTCATACACTCCCAAAAACAGCTATTTTACGGACTCATTCAAGTCCGTAAAATGCTTCTTTTTAGGATTTTTTTTTTATATCTGGATGATTTATGATTTCAAAAATTAAGGAAAATTTGCAAATTTTAGCGTTCTAAAGGATTCTAAAAAGCTTATCACAAAAAATAGTGTTTGTCACACGTACCTAACGAAGTTTTTCAGGACTCATCTACTATTCCAGACTCGGCTAACGCCTCGTCCGGAAACAGCAATGATTCGTCCTGAAAAACTTCATTTTAGGTAGGTACTTGTGACAAAAATAACTATTACAAAATTACGAAAATGTACGTCGCATTATTGTTTCTTTATTGGTTGGGATTTTTGACATGACATTTCAACATTAAAGATCATTGACAAAATTAAAGAAAAATATGGCTAGACATACATTTTAAAAACCATAGCAAGCAATCTTTAATTGGTTTTTTTTTGAAGACCTGAAACCTCACCTAATGATGTCAATACAAAACGCAGGTACCCTAAACCACTTTTCTTGGAGGGACAAGGCAGGTAAAAAAAAAAAACCTGCCTCCAGACCCTTTTTGGCCATGTTGTTTGTAAAATTAAGAAAAGAATCAAAGTTTTGCATAGATCTGACCATTTTTAGGAGCAGGTAAATTGAATATAAAATATATTAAATAAAAAGGCCTGCATCACAATGCGTATGAAGGAAGGCATATAAAGTCCATTCCAAAATATTTCGTTGAATTCACGGCTATAAAACCCTACCATAAATTAGATAGCTATTAGCCTCTATTGTGTAGGTACCAGGTTCTTTTATGTAGGTACCGGGTTCCTTAATACCCACTCAAAGGTTTACAGGTACGGATTTTGTGCCCATTATAATGAAAACGAAAAAGGCGTTTCATAATATTATTTATTTATGTTATAATCTTATACTATCTTAATAATTACCAAAACTTAATATCTAATACAATATAATACAATACACAATTCAACCAAACCTAATCTATATTTAGTTCCGTTTCACTGTCACTGTCATCTTCATCTATGCCTAAACTAATTATTAATGGCTTAACATTAATACCTATTGAATTATAGGTTTCTTCAACTTTTATAACGTGATTGACAGAATTTTTCCAGCTTTGAACTGGAATATTATCTACACATTTTCTAATTAAATCTATTACAGCAGTACTAAGTGTAGGAGAGGTGTTTCCTCTCCTAACCATTGCCTTCAATTCATGCCAGATATGTTCTATTGGATTGAAAATACAATAATATGGAGGAAGACGCAAAACTGTATGACCACAAGCGCTAGCAAGATCGTCACAAATATATTCTTTTTTAACATTATATGATTTCAAAACGTTTAAAAGATCTTTCTTTGTATAATTTTCTTCGAAATACATATCATTTTCCATCATATATTTTTGAAGTTCTACTTTTGTATTACTTGCATTGGGCACTTTATTTTTTTGACGGCTGTGGTAACTAGCGTTGTCCATCACAA